CACCACATTGTGGCTGCTTACTCGCTCACTGACTGCCTGCGTCTGCCCTCACCACATTGTGGCTGCTTACTTGCTCACTGACTGCCTGGGTCTGCCCTCACCACATTGTGACTGCTTACTCGCTCACTGACTGCCTGCGTCTGCCCTCACCACATTGTGGCTGCTTACTTGCTCACTGACTGCCTGGGTCTGCCCTCACCACATTGTGACTGCTTACTCGCTCGCTGACTGCCTGGGTCTGCCCTCACCACATTGTGGCTGCTTACTTGCTCACTGACTGCCTGCGTCTGCCCTCACCACATTGTGGCTGCTTACTTGCTCACTGACTGCCTGGGTCTGCCCTCACCACATTGTGACTGCTTACTCGCTCACTGACTGCCTGCGTCTGCCCTCACCACATTGTGGCTGCTTACTCGCTCGCTGACTGCCTGCGTCTGCCCTCACCACATTGTGACTGCTTACTCGCTCGCTGACTGCCTGCGTCTGCCCTCACCACATTGTGGCTGCTTACTCGCTCACTGACTGCCTGCGTCTGCCCTCACCACATTGTGGCTGCTTACTCGCTCGCTGACTGCCTGCGTCTGCCCTCACCACATTGTGACTGCTTACTCGCTCACTGACTGCCTGCGTCTGCCCTCACCACATTGTGGCTGCTTACTCGCTCACTGACTGCCTGCGTCTGCCCTCACCACATTGTGACTGCTTACTCGCTCACTGACTGCCTGCGTCTGCCCTCACCACATTGTGGCTGCTTACTCGCTCGCTGACTGCCTGCGTCTGCCCTCACCACATTGTGGCTGCTTACTCGCTCACTGACTGCCTGCGTCTGCCCTCACCACATTGTGACTGCTTACTCGCTCGCTGACTGCCTGCGTCTGCCCTCACCACATTGTGGCTGCTTACTCGCTCACTGACTGCCTGCGTCTGCCCTCACCACATTGTGGCTGCTTACTCGCTCGCTGACTGCCTGCGTCTGCCCTCACCACATTGTGGCTGCTTACTCGCTCGCTGACTGCCTGCGTCTGCCCTCACCACATTGTGACTGCTTACTCGCTCGCTGACTGCCTGCGTCTGCCCTCACCACATTGTGACTGCTTACTCGCTCGCTGACTGCCTGCGTCTGCCCTCACCACATTGTGACTGCTTACTCGCTCGCTGACTGCCTGGGTCTGCCCTCACCACATTGTGGCTGCTTACTTGCTCACTGACTGCCTGCGTCTGCCCTCACCACATTGTGGCTGCTTACTCGCTCACTGACTGCCTGCGTCTGCCCTCACCACATTGTGGCTGCTTACTCGCTCACTGACTGCCTGCGTCTGCCTGCGCCACGCTGCGTTGTGGCTGCTCACGCGCTCACTGCCTGCGCTCGGTGCCCGGCTCGCGCGTGGTTGTGCCGTGCACCACAAAGGCATTGTGTGCGTCTGGACTTGTAATGGAATTGCGTAACCGTCAGTGTGCGGGCTTGGCGGCATTTCGTGAGCAATTGCAGAGAAAATTGCATCAAATGCCTGCATTGCTTGCATCAGCACTGCCGTGGATTATCTTGATGCCGCTTTTATTTTCCAATTAACGCCCTATTAGATTGTCACCTACTGCCTAATGTAGCTCCGTAAATAGTTCCTGAACCCAGTCTCGTGGAATATTTTTTTGTACGCATGTATATTGAACTTTTCAATCTCGATGGTTTAACAGTGCATAGCTTGAGTGATTTCAAAATATGGGGGAGGAAGAGCGTTCCAAACGACCGCAGAAGCGCATCTGAAGGCGTGCGCGGTGTGGTCACCACCGTCTTTGTTCGATGGGCAGCCAAAACCCTGCCGCTGCAAGGATGCCCGGAGTTCGCGTGATGATGGCTTTTGTTCCTTGACGAGATCGGCAAGGTATTGTGGTTCATTTGTGGAGAGCACTTGGTGTGTAACCAGTGCGACCTCAGCGTATTTAGCACCCACACTGCAGTTGTTGTGGCTGGGAGCAGCACCCGAGTCTACCTTCGCGAGCTAAGTCTTGCAGTCACAGATTGTAGCGGTATTGCGGTGGGGGATGGGTTCAAAAATTATCCACGAAGGCACACGCTGCAATCGAGCGTCAAGTCCTGATTTGAAGCCCTCATTTGAGGGGCCTGGTCTCGATTTAAATGTTTTAATCGAAAAGAGACCAGGTGGCTCAATGGGCCACTCTGTCTACAGGAAAGCCACCCATACGGATGCCTACCTTAAGACCTGACTCCCACCACCATCCATCCCAGAAAAATTCCCTCATCAAAACTCCATAGAGCTCTATGTATTTCCGACCATCATCACCTAGCCAGTGAACTGGAACATGTACACAAGCCTTCAAGACGAATTGATATTCAGACTACACAATCTGTAAAGCTACCACCCCAACTGTTGGGAAAGAACCGAGGACCCAACCAAAACCATCACCTTGCCATACATAGCAGGGGTCACCAAAAATATTTACAAAATCATGAGCAAACACAAGATCCAGGTTCGATTTAACACAGTACATAAAATTTGTGATCTGATTCCATCTGTGAAGAATGTGATCCCTGACATGCAGTACCCTGGCATCTACAAAGTAAGCTGTGTCTACAGCAGTAGTTAAATTGAGGAAACTAAGCGACATGTCTCGGACCGAGTCTGTGAACATAAGGCGGATCTGAAACACGGTAGGACCAATACCTCGGCCGTGGCTGATCATTGTTTTAATGCGGTGGGCTCACACGAAATAGATTTCTCTAAGACGAAGGTACTTTGCAAACCCACTGGTTATCAACAAAGATTCGTTCATGAAGTCATCCATATATACAGACATAGACACAATTTCCACCGAGAAGATGGGTGAAAACTCAGCAATCACTGGAAGGACGTTATCAACCAGTTTAAGTCATAACTAGCTGTAATGTTGCCATTTCAGACCTGGCAGCCCTTTAATTGGTGGAAGTCCACCACCACGACCATCACTGCCCACTACTACCATCACCACTAGCAGGAGGAACCCTTTATTGGTGGAAACCCACCACCAGTGCTATGGTTACCCTCTACGAGTACCACCACTCACATTCACATTAGCTTCCCGCCCATGCTGCTGATACTTTGGTACGTCCGTCGTCTTAAAAGACTTCTTCTGACCAGCGTGGAAGAGCAGGCCAATTGCCCTCCGAGAGTGGCTCTTCAGCGCTGCCTTTCACGATGGATGGTCCTTCCGCCAGCAGTGTTGCGAGCAAGCAGTTGCAGGGCTGCACCTTTTTTTTGTTACACTCTTACTTATGACCGAACATCTAATGGCCACGCAGACCCCGATGTGATCAAAGATCTTTGAGTGGGCGGCTGGCAGCTTCCTGCATAGTTTTGCCTGTAAAGTGGAATAGAACGTGGGGGCAGCACTTACAACCCGGAGAGGTCGTGGACGCCAGGGGCGGGATAATATTTTATGGCACGAGGCCGTACCGCTGCGGAGCGGGAAAGTTTAGGGGGCCACCGACAGGCCGTTTGTCATTGGTCGGAGGAGCAACGTCGCGTGTGTAGGGGTGTGAGGGGGGGGGCAGCAATTGTGAACGACACAGGAAGCGCGCCGGTTGTTTTTCACGCCCGCGTGCCCCCCCCCCCGGTTGGGACGGCGTGGCAATGCTGCGCCACGACGGCTCGTGCCGCTTTGTTTATTTTACCGCGTCAAAAATTGAGCAATGCCACGCTGGCCGTTTCAGGAAATGAGAGAGGGAATGGGCAAGCAAAAACAAAAGTAAGGCCTTGAAATGTGAAACACAAAAAAAGGCCCTGTTTCAAAAGCGCGGCCTTCGGGGGGGCCGCCGCCCCCCCCTTCCCCCTTCCCCGCCGTTCACTTCTTGCACCAGGTGGCAAATGACACTCATTGCACCTCGGCAGACACGTTCTAAACCGCTTCCGTTTGTCTCGTTTAAAGGAAAGCGCGTCATTAGCCGGGGGCGGGCGGGGGGGGGGGTGGTTTCGCGACGACGTTGAACTCCGCTCGAAGTGCAGCGGCGATCGCTTGAAGGTCCGCCACAGGAGGGGGGGGGGGGGGGCGGCCGCAGTCCCCTCGCCCGCGGTGCACTGGGGGCAGCGTCCGTCGCTCTCGCAGCGCTTAACCACCGACGGACGCAGGCGCTCGACGCAAGTGTCGGCGCGCGTGTGTGTGCGTGTTGGGGGAGCGGTGGTGTGGCGGTCAGCGCTACGCTGTGCGAGGAAGCCGGCCACCCGAGTTCGTTCCCCGCTCATGGTCACCAACGTCGGTGACGATTATCTGAACCTGTCCCGGGCCCTCCCCTAGGTCAACTCGGCCTCAAATGAGTACCTGGTGCGATGTGGGGAAACATCGCCACGAGGGAGACTCAGGTGGCCGGGTGTGGTGCTGGCCACCCACCCCTGGGTGTGCACTTGCCCCAACACTCTGTTAAGGTTATATGGGGGTCTTTGTGGGGAGCGGTGGTGTAGCGGTTGGCACGCTGCGCTACGAGCTCCGTCGCATCTCTATGAGGACATCTCTGGCTTTGTTTGGCCTCGTCGGCCAAATAGACGTTGCGCTTGTCACGGAGCACTTTGATTGGTCTCGCTTCAACGTGCTGCTGCTGCTGCTGCTTCTGCTGCTGTTGTTGTTTACTGCACCGGGTTAGAGCCCCTTAACGGGTTCATTGCAGCTTTTGAAGTAACAACAGATACTTCGCAGAAATGTTCGGGCCTATGATTGTTGGCACTCAGTATTTCTGCGTGGTATTTTTGCCCAAGCGAGCAACCTTCTGCAGAGTGATCATTAAGGCCACATGGCACCCACCCAATAGAGACTTTGAGAGAGACCGTTTCTCCAGTGATAATGGATAAACCCTAACTAACCCTTTGTGAGATAGAGAGAGAGAAAATACACTGGGATGTATCTGTCGTGACCTGGCTAAGTGAGCGACATTGATGCAGCGAAGGGGTTCAGCTGATGAGAGCGTGGTGGTCAGAGCTTGCTTTCTGCCCCCAAGCCACAAAGGTTCGGAGGGGATGAACTGCGGTAATTGTGAGACCTCGTGGATGGCTTGAGCGTGCGAGGATCGGTCAGAACATCAGCCAGGACCACACGCTATTGCGGACAGGCAAAAGTTGAGAACTTCCGGCATTGGCGTGAAAGTTACCGCTGAGCTTGATTGAAAGTGAAAATGAAACGATTCTCTTTAGATGTCGACAACATTAGCGGTTGTTGTAAGGTTGTACGTGACATTGGTGTAGCCATTGGTTAGGCCTTTGTGGCGTGATATTGCTATTTTGTTATTGGTGAAAGACCTTTTGAATGAAAAAGAGAACTTGGCACTAAAGAGGTCGGAGCACACCTCGGAGGCACAAGTAATTGGTGCAAAGATCACGATATTTGAAGGCGAGAAGCTATCGGTAATTGCTGCTGTGGGCAGTGTTGAAATCCGAGGGTTGAAACTGTGTTTTGATGTTTGCGGTTCGACATTGAGACCATAATTAAAACGTTGCGTGCACGCGTTACATCCCGCTGTTTGAAACCACGGATTATAATTTAGTTGTAAATGGCCATTTATATGCCACATATAATGTGCACGTTTGTTACAGATATCGATTGATCTTCATCAAAAGCTTGCTTTTTTCTCTGTGGATGAGATTATTTTGTTTTAACTGTGTGCCTTTATTTTCTGTCTTTGCAGCTAACTCGACTCTGCTTGGCGGTGGAGGAGGTAATGTTTTGACTTTTATTTTAATGCGCACACAAATGTTTATGCACGCGCGCACACACACACCGCACTAGAATGACACACACACAAGGCACATGGAAAAATTATCCAAGAACAACATCAATACAAAGAAATTTGAACGTTTTTATCTGTAAAGTGACAATGCTTGAAGGGTTATTGTCATCTTGTGCATGTGTTTGTATGTGTGTGTGCGTGGACATGTGTATGTGTGCGTGGGGAGCGGTGGTGCTGCCGTGGTTAGCGCTACGCTGCGCTACTAAACCAGCATCCCAAGTTCAATTCTCGCTCACGGCCAACACCAGTGTGACGATTATCCAAACTGGTCCTGGGCCTCCCGTAGGCCTCAAAAAAGTACCTGGTGCGGCATGTAAACATTCCTTCTGGGGAGACAAAGGCGGCCGGGCGTAGTGCTTGCCACTCACCCCCTCGTGTACTTTTCTTTCATAGGTACTCAGCAGCAGCACTTACCCGAACTCTCCGTAAAGGCCAGACGGGGGGGGGGGGCGGGGGGGATCTTTGTCTTTGTGGGAAAAAGTTCCTACAACGGTTTAATTATTGCAATGAACTGCACTGCAATCTCGGGTCACCTGGGTTCGATTCCCGACACTGCGTACCTACGTCAACTCGTCCCTGTGCTCGACGCAGCCAGAATTACAAGCAGCTGCGCTTGTAACAGGCGCAGGCGATGCTCTCTGCACAGGCAGACAAAACGGTCGCTGAGAATTAATGGCGATGGTAAAAAAAAAATCAAAGCTTGAGCTATTTTGGAAGATGTGCTCATTATCAGCACGTGTCTCAACTGCCTACCCGGGGTAAAGTAGGAGGACCCCTTCTGTTATTGTACTTGTAAAATCATTTCAAACTTGAACGGAATTAAATCGCCTTTCTGAAAGTTGACACACGTTGTGAAGATGTTGCGTTCGAGCCCAGCTCGTTAATTTCCCGCGCCAGGAGCAGGCAACTCGGCACAATCCCCGAGATGGAAACGCAGCAGCAGAAGCAGCAGCACCGTCTTAGTCGCGTCACCTCCCGCCTCCGAAATCCGAGCGCAGGGGACGATGTTGTGCTGTCGATCGTGGTTTCCAAGGCGCTGGTTCTCACGGTCGACACTTGCGAACTGTTCTAATTCAACGTTGGGGGGGGGGGGGGGGGGGCGGTTGTGGCGGTGCACACACCTGTAATCCAGCAAACTTGGCGATGCAATCCCGGAAACTTGGGATGGCTATCTGCAGGGCGCAGTAAAGTGCCTGCGGTGAGTTTTACAGCAAGCGGGTTCATAACATATATTGATTGTTTGGAGAGTCATCCTCTGGAATGTTGTGAAGTTTTTCTGAGCCCCTCTGGTTTTGTTGTTCTTGAAAATAAACGATAGTGACACCCGCCAGGCTCTCAACGTAGGGCCCTGCTTGCTTGGAGAAAGTGTCGGGTCTCACCGAGGCTCTCCTGAGTGATTAACGTCGGTAAGGAACGGTTGCTAAAGATCTCGCTTCTGTTTGTCTCTCCATTTTCTCTCGCCTGCCTTACGCCCCCCCCTCCCTCCCTCTGCGTTGTTCGTGCTCAATCACCACACGAGCTGCTTCTCCCATTCGTTAAGCGTCTGTTTGTTGGGGGTAGAGATCAGAGTCGGGGCCAATCGCTCTCTCCCTCCGCTTGAGTGTGGTCTGGAATTCCCTTTCAATTGCTCTCGTCCAGGTGATGGACTAATGCATCATCGGTTCGGCCATTAATATTGCTTTGAAAGCTCACGACAGCTGCATCGAAAAGCATGTAATAACAGAAGTTTTTCGATTCGTATACGTCGTCTGTAAATAGGTTAGCGTCTTGTGTGCGGCTACTAAGAGGCATTAGCATTCACTGGGTTTTAACGTGAGTACAAAGCCACGTGTTTTTAATTCCCTAGAAAGATCCACGCCTTTGCCATCGTTTGTGAAAGAGTCTGTTGCTGGCTTTCTCCCCCCCGCTACGTTGGGATGCTTAATTTTGCGTCCACGGCTGCTCATGCTTTTTATCACCGCCCTTCCCCCCCCTCATTACGCGACGCTCTACCGCGAATCTGCGCAGTATCTGGAGAGCATCGCTCACACTCTGATCTCCGCGAACAGATGACTTTCCACAAGCGCACGGGGCTTAATTAACTAATGACCACCTTAATTCTATCCCCCCCCCCCCCCCCGCGCTCATCCAGAGCCGAGCCGCGTGAGTTTGGGGTGCGTCGTTGAGGCTCGACAGTAACACACCACCCCTCCCGCCTCCCAAGCCACCAACAAAACTCCCCAAGCAGCCACCATTCGACTTGGATGCAGCTATCCAAGCTCTCACAAAGTCAGAGCTGAATAAAAACAAAAATGACAATAAAATAATAATACAATTATTTAAAAAAGTGGTGTTACTTTTTTTTCCAAACCATTTACAAAATAGGAATTCAATACACAGGCCTTCATCATTTTGTATATAGGATGTATGCACCGATATCACTGGCTGGCAATCACTGGTTTGATGCATCCTTGCTGCCAGATGTACGCACGCTCGAGCGATATCCCAGGGGGTGTAACTGTGCTCCCGGTTGAACTTTGCAACGCAGCAACTCCACGCGACGAGGCGCGTCTTAAAGAACCTCAACACGGGAACACCCGCACATCGTTGAGCAGAGGGTCAAAGCAGCTTGACCGTGCCGGCAACGGGCGTGACGGGCAGCGCATCATCGTCGTGCGATCGTTGGAATGCAATTTGCATGTGCACTCTGATAAAACTTTAATGGCCACTCCCCGCGTTTTGAGCTCAGAGCCAGAATTTGAGGGATCTGTCACGTTAAAATTAATGTCTGCCATGTGGTTATTCCATCAAGAGGGGATGTACACTTGATTCTACAGGTAGCTTCTTCCACCTATATCAGGACCAACAATGAGGCTTCTAAAAACTCCCAAGGGCTACAACCGTCTGAAGCGCTTGCTTCAATTTGCCACGCTTTGCACGCAGCGCTATTTCGTTTTCTATACGGACGGCATCAATAATGAAAGGTGTTTCCGGATACTTTGCCACGGCGTCCTTTTTTTATCCCAGCACCCCTCCTCCTCCCCGTCTGGCCGACTAGCCGAACGCAACCGTGCTCAACCGCCGAGCCTGTCCATCCGGGGTCAGTTGCTTCGATTCTGCAACCCGCTCGCCCAATTCCGCCGGGGCGCTAGCTAACCCTGCAGCTTGCCGCGGCTTGCCGCGGCTTGCGCTTCTCAAAGGGGCCACCCCCCGAGTGTGGCCAACGGCAGAGCCCGAACCGATTCCTTGGAAATCGTTCGCACCCGAACGGGCACTGGTCCCCTTCTGATTTCAACGAGCGACGATTGGCTACCGTGGTGGCGAAGATTCTTGTCGCGGAACGGAGCTGCCGTGCTTGCGTCGGGCCGGCCTGAGATGAATCTCCCCGTCTCGGTGGCAGCGCTCGCTGGAAGCGGCGGCGTTTTTGCCGGCGGCACGGACGGGCCGTGCGACCGGCGAGCGAGGCGCGCGCCATCTGCGGGGGTGGGGGAGGGCGTTACTGCGAGCGCCTCCGGGCCGTGTCTGGAAGACGCCGCGACACCGCAGATTGCTCACCGAGGGCCGCGGCGGCGCAGAACGCCGACGGCCACGTGAGTGGGCGAGCGAGTGACGAGCGTGCCGAGCAGAGGCGCCCCAGGGATTTGGCTTGCGCAATGGCGTTAATTTCTATCCGTCACGTCGCTCCGATGGAGTCTCACAGAGTGTAGGAAGCGGCGTGTGTCAACGTGACACTTTTTTGCTGATTGGCCGTGTCGGGTGGTGGAGGGTTACGACACATTTATAAATAACGCACTGCGCTGCAATCCCGGTGACCCGGATTTCGTGGTTTTCTATTCACACGGGTAATGTGGGCGTGCGTTGGGGCTCCACGAGTTTGGGCTTTTGTTGAATGGACACCTGGCGTGGAGTGTTACTATGAACATTGGCACCGGGAAGACAAAGACGGCCAGGCCACTTGTCATGCTGACGTTAACACTTAGCTGCTCCGTGCGTCCCGGCCACTCACGGGCGTGGGTATGCACTGGAGCCTGTTCTAGCCTCGACTAAGCTGACCCAGTATCCATGAAGTCACACCCTGATTTGGGGTGAAATTGAGTCTATTCCAAATTGAGTCAATTCTTGCGATCGCCAATGCATTTCAAGGGCCATTCTTTCCGCATGGAATTTGCTTGAATCGCCAGTCTGATTGGATGGATTTGGCAATGTGTAGCCAAGCTAAACATAGCCGAAGGTCCGCGAAGCTAGATTAACAAAAACATCGACTAGGAATCTGATCCTAATTCTACGTATAATATTCCATTCAGTCTAACGGAGACTTTTGCCTGGGAAATTGCCTTGAGAAAAACTGCGATTCGCGGATGCGATTGTCTTGGATGGAAATTTAAGAATGGATAATGGTGCCTTCAGGAAACTCACGTGCAAAATTAGGATGTTTATTTGTCCTGTGCACTGTAGATAACTTTAACACAAAAAAACAAAATACCGGCGATTTGCCCCATGGGGGGACCGGCAGATATTCTGAAGGCAGTTGTTTCCAAATTATTCCACAAGCAGTAGCAATTTAGACAATAGGTGATTTCAACAGCCGTGCTATAATCTTCCTCATTTATCTTAAACACTTGTAGTTTCTGCACCCGCAGGTACACCTGAAGCAAACGTTTCTAAACGCAAACGATTAAAAATAAACAACGGTTATTACGGACGTTTTAATTTTCTTGAAGTTACTGCGACAGGCCCGGGCGGTGATTGTTATTAATATTACGGCTACTACGCCAGGCGGATGGTGGTGGCTGTGTGTTCCTGATTAACGACGATAGCGGGCTACGTACGGTGTGTGCGCGCCTCCAGATTAACGCTCGGCCCAGCCGCCTCTCTCTCTGACCCGCTCGCTCGCAGCCTGCGCTGCTGCGGCTGCATCGGCCGCTGCTGTTTTCGTTTTTCCCTAAAAA